ATATAGTCCTATCGAGAAACCTTTCTTATTCGTCCTGCTGAGGCAATCGGTTATGCAAGCGCGGAGTTTCAAAGCGGAACGATTTAATTGCCGCGATGAGTCCGGCTAGATTAATATACGAGTTTTTATTTCGAAAGTTGTACGAAATTTTTTAATTTTCAAACACAACGATTTCCGTGCACACGCGTGCGTGCAATACGTTACTTTATCAGTTTCATAAGGAAATTTTAGTTTCATAACTTTAAACCGAAAGAATTATAACGCTGGACGCAGTATAAGTATATAATTTGATTAGTATAATTTTCCTCTATAATCTCCAGGGATATAAAATATATAATTTTTGATATCTCTGAGAGAGTTGTGACGTTTTGTTTTGTCTTCACTAAAAAACATCTAAAAAGATGTCGAATCTCAATTAAATGCACGGTGTTTAATGTTTAATATTACAATACAATGTCTAATTAAAATATTTTTATCGCGCCGAAGAAGGCTCGAAATGTCAGCCGAAACGTTCGCAAAATGTTTATTTCTTATTTGGTTTAAATGAATTTTATCGATATCAACCGTCAACTGTATTACGTTTAATAGCTCTTACAGCCCTTCTTTATTATAAGTTTACAAAAACGTATAAAAAGAATTAATATAAAATCTTGCACATGCGTATGTTTTTTCACCACAATTAACTGTGTGCAGAAAAATGATTATTAAAATGATAGTTAAAGACGATACTATATAATTAAAAATTAAAAAAAAAAAAAAAAAAAAAAAAAAAAAAAATTAAATTTACCTCTCATATATCCTATAAGCAACGACACGTTAGAAAAGATATATCATCGTTTAGTTATATTTGAATTACGCGCTCAAAGCGTACGACACTAAAAGTTGAATTAGATCTTACGGCGATCTCTGCTCCTCTCTCTCATCTCGACGGTACCGTAGGATCTCTCGGATTCGCACGCACCGCGATCCAATTTTTCGCGTATTACGATTTATCTCGCTATCCTATTCGCCGTTCGAGTACTAATGTCGCTTTGAAGTTTCCTCGAGGTTTCCGGGAGGAGCGTTTCCGGGCGTCGTCGTTCGCCGAAACAGGGGGAAAAAAGCGTTGGTAAAGGGGTAAACGAGAGAAAGGGAGAAACGAAGAGAAGGTGCCGTGTCATTTTCGTCAATTTAATGCCCCCTCTCCCGCGCGCCCTCTTTTTCTCTCTTGAAAATCACCCCACCGTCCGCCCTCCTCCCAACGTCCGCCCCTGACTCGCCCCCACTTTTGCCTCGTCGAAGCGAGGTCAATCGACGGAGAGGGCTGAAGACGACCCCCACCCTCTCGCGACGACCCTCCCTACCACGGGCTACTCAATATCGTTTCATTACGCACCCCGCTCCACCGACCACCCTTCCAACCTCCCTTCCTTCACTCCCTTTCCCTCTCTTTCTTTCTCACCTCGCTTTAACCCCCCGTTTCACCCCTTACGTCCCTCCATTCCTACCACGGCGACGAAACACGAACGCCGACGAATTTTTATTGTTACTTCTCGCGCCGCTTCCTCTGACCTCCCACCCACCCAGCGCCTTCTCCTCTACTTTTTTATGCGCCTTTTAACGATCAGCAGTAACTGCGCCCATCCGCCACCCCCTTTGCTCGCCTTGCCTTGCCGAGCCGAGCCTTTTCGGGAAACGGTGCGGATGCACAAAAGGGATGATACGTGTGTCGACTCTTCCCGAGCTTTTCGTCTTATATAATGGTAATGCTTCGACGGCACGACACGGGGAAGTAATCGAGCTAATCGATGGACTCTGATTCAAGTTTTCGTATATGCTTTCGTGAGAAAGAGGAGGTTCTTATTACACACCCACTCGCCGGTTCTTAAAAACTGTTAATATTACATCTTTCATAAAGCTACCTCCGTTCCTCTATAAATCTTCCACCAGACAATGAAATATTACCGGATACAGCAAAGCGCGTGCTCGCATAATCCATGCTTCGCATGAATGAAAAACAAGTGCGCTAGATAGATGGGCCTTCACTTTTCTTAATATCATAGAGATTAATGCGATCGTTTTGATCACAATCGGACGTGTAACGTCGGCGTTATCCTCTTCCTTTTTATTCCCCATTTACATTCCCCATTTTCAGCAGCGATAACAATTATTCATACAAAATTCGCTTCTTCTCTTTGAAAAAACGCGAAACTATAAGAAACTTATACGCATCGAATACAGGCCGGTATTCGTAGTTGGATCCCATATTTAAGATCGTCTCGAGCTTAAGGAGCACCACATTTGACATCGGCGTTATCCTCTTCTTCTTTATTCCCCATTTTCAGCAGCGATAATAAATTCGTACAAAATTCGTTTCTTCTCTTCGAAAAAACGCAAAACTATAAGAAACTTATACGCATCGAATTACAGGCCGGTATTCGTAGTTGGATCCCATATTTAAGATCGTCTCGAGCTTAAGGAGCACCACATTTGATCGATCCTGGATTCGACCACAGAGTCGCTTTTGCGAACTCTTCCTGCAAATTCGAGAAACTCGTTCTACGGTAAAAGAGAGAACTCTGTCTCTACGGTCTCTCTCTCTCCATCGATTCCGTAATCGCGCACGTGTACGGGCGGCACGCCGTTGCCTCGCAACTGCGTCGGGGCTGTTTCTTTACCTAAACTACGTCGATCCACTTGCGCGTTTTTACGCCCGTCGAATCCGCCTCGGTCGTCCTCGTCTCGACGGTGCAGCTACGCACAGATCCACCGAGCGACATCGTTACAGCCGACATTCGCGGGATCGGCTAATTCCGGCGACGAGCGTGAAGAAGCGGCTTCGTTACGTCCAATTCCATGCTCCCTCTCGATTAAGTGCGTGCGTGCGAGTCGACGCCGGGGATTACGCGGTGCGTGACGATTACCGCGTATATATCGCGACCCTCTCTCGGCCCAAAACTTTCGACACACACGCGCGCGCGTAACAGGTGTAACTGTCGCTTCCGAAGGGCAAAGAAGGGAAGAGCAGGAGCAACAGTTTCCCGAACGAGAGCACCGTCTTTACGAGTATATATAGTCGCGCACTCACTAAAGTCGGACACCCTTTGTTTGAAAAGTTGGCTCACACGTCTCTCCCTTTGACGCGCACACACTATATATATATATATATATATACGTGCACTCGCGCTTGTACCGCTCGGAGCACTAGACCGAGATTTCGATAGCCGATTCCACCCTCCGTCACCCTTTCCCGAACGCGCACTGGTCGATCCTCCCAAGATCGCGAAAGTCTCGGAGAGGAGGCGGCGCGCACACACACGCGTTGCCCCCCTTTTTTCCTCGCCCTTTTTCGTCCGCCGCTCTTGTCCACCCTCTACCCCTCCTTCTCCGTCGAACTCGCGCCTCCGTTTTTAGGACCTCTTCGCTATACGGAGGACGAATACGGATGAGAAGGAAGGAAGGAAGGAAGGAAGGGGCGACGGAGAGGAGGGGGCGGGGGAGGATTCGCGAAAATTTCTCTCGACCACCAGCGGCAGCTGCGTTCCGAATGAGGAGCGACGACGACGACGAACGACGACGACGACGACGACGACGACGACGACGACGAAGAGGGAGAAAGAGATAGAGAGGGAGAGGTCACAAAAGTGGAGGAAGAAGCGTAACGGCGAGTGCACGCAACACCGACGCGTGCGGAAACGTGCCTTCCGCGAGTACCGGAGCTTGCCCCTTGACGAACTAACCGAAAGGCGAAGGAGGGGAAGTCGGGGGTGGGTCGGAGTGGGGAGAAACGCGGCGGCGGCGACGACGACGCGGAAAAGGGGAGGGAGACGGAAGGCCGTAAGAAGAAGAAAAGAAGGTTTCGGGCGGCGGCCGGGATCGTCGGGTTGTCTGTGGTCAAGGCACGCAGCTTGTGCAGTATTTTCTGCGCGTCTGACGATGCCGCCGTCGCCGCCCGTCACCCCTCGGCGACGACGCCGAACGAGCGAGGGGGCGAGAGCCACGTCGTCGACGTGGAAGCTCTCTCGCGAGAGAGCCTGATTTTTTCGCCACCCTCTTCTTCCTCGGTACAGGAAATTGCGCGCCTAATTTTCGATTTTAGCCCCCCTCGGTCTTTGACCGTACGACTTTCCGATTACCACGTTTTTATTTCGCCCGTTGCTAAGTTCAAGATGAATCGAGCACCGTCAGTTTTCATCTTTATATATAGACCGAGCATCGATTACAAATATGTATATAGCATTCTCGGGAAATTATATATTCGCATATAAGAGATATCAACGAAGCTTATTAAAGACCATTGAGCAATATCTCTCGAATCGCGCCACCGGGTTATTTAATTATACGTAACGCGATCGCGACACATTCGCAACGCGATATGGGAAACCTTATTGTCGCGGTCGTTTCTTTCGTCCGTAAATAGCTGATTCGGTGAGTAACAGACGACGGTTTTGGCACGAAAACTCGAAACCGCACGGGAAACTACTCTCGGAATATTATCGGATTTTCCGGCAACGTGGTACCACCCTGTTGAACGTGCAGACGCGAGTAGGAGTCACGCCTGGCACATAGTCAGCCAGGATTCGGCGTTTCGGTTCGCAACAGGTCTCAACCACCAGCGTGTTCTCTCTCCTCCCCATTCTCTCTTTCACGCTGCATCTTTCTTTCTCTCTCGATCTCTCCTGCTCGCTCTTCACGTTCGCACACTGATAGAGAACCCGTTCTCCCACACCATGTACGTCGACCTAGTACACACACACGCATACATACATGTACACATTTTCACAGGTTCTCCAATTGATATATATATATATGCCACTTTTACACACATGTACACCCCCGCAACAAGCTGGTGACACGCCTCTGTTGCGCGCGCGAGGAGTCGGCGCGCATATCCTGGGTGCACGCGTGCATAACGCACCGATGTGACAAATATACGTCTATACATGTGTTCGCGAGGTATATACGTACGAAACGATCTCGGTATATAAAGATAGGAAAAACTTGCGAGACTCTTTACTCACCGACTACGAAGACCATATTCTTTGTCCATCGCAGCAGCTCCCGTCGGATGTGTCTGCGTTCCTGTATGCAGCGGGCATAGGGGCAATCCGCCATTTTTGAAATCACATCTTAGGATGTGTGTGCGCGTGCCGGCCGGGTGCGCCTGCCTCGTGTTCCCGCGTGGATGTCCACCCCTTCCACCGCCGGCGCTCCTCTTGGTCTTGGTGGTCGTCGTCGTCGTCGTCGAGTTCGCCTTCTCTCTCGCACTCCTACCACCCCTTTTCCACCCCTACGGCCCTAGTTTCCCTTCCGCGTCGACCTACCCTCCCTCTCTCTCTCTCTGCCGCCGACGTTTCTCTCGTCTTTCAACGCGCACCGTGAGCGTGAGACGCGCGTGAGGGAGAAGGGTAGCGCGCGTGTCCACGTCGTCGCGCTGTTTAGTGTGCAACGTCACGCGTGACAGACAGAAGCGGCTCGAATCGTCGTTGTTGTTGTTATCGTTGGAAGCCGCACGTGTGATGATAGTTGCGGTTCTAGTGGCAACAATAGTGGCGGCCCTGTCTTCGTCCTCGTCCTCGTCCACGTCGCCGTCGTGATCGTCGTCGTCGTCGTCGTGGTGGTGGTGGTCGTCGTCGTCGTCGTCGTCGTTGTCGTCGTCGTCGTCGTCGTTGTCGTCGTCGTCGCCGTCGTTTCGTCGGCCGTGACGCGGCGCAGCGCTCTTCCGCGAGCGTCGGAGGGTTGGCGAGCCGACAGCGGCGTCGGTGTCGCTGGCGGTATCGGTGGCGGCAACGACGGCAACGGCGGCGAAGTGGGGATGTAGTCGCGGAGGGATGACGACCACGCTACTCCTCCCAGGTAGCGGGACAGGGTTAGGGCACGCACAACACACGTGCACGCTTGCGCCCTGAGCGTCGCGAGAAGAGAGTGCAGTCTGTCGCCGGCGGCGCGTCTCTATCCCTTTTTCTCTTTGCCACCCTCTACCACCCTCCCTCCCTCCCTCCTTCGGGTGCCCGTTGTGCGCGCACTCCTCTCTCTTTTCTTCCGCCGAATCTTTCCGAACGGTGCGGACTCCTCTATCCGAGGGCGAAGACGCTCGGTTGCTATCTGAAACAGAAACAAGACCGCGTGAGGTTAGAACCTAGTCCGTGCGTTACCGGATATTCTCGCGTCTTACAAATTATTTCTTCCGTTTCTTTAATGAGAAAAAAAAAAAAAAAAACGTTTTCCAAGTTCTTAACCCAGTCCCATATACTTGATTCGATTAGCGTGGACTAATTACGATTATCGCGATTCCACGATCGAGTGCAAAAAGTAGTTAAGGGTGGGCGGGAAGGATACTGCTGCTCTGCTCGAAATGAAACATTGCCGGTAAGAAGAGCGTCAGAACCGGCGGTGTAGATGAGTGGTAGGGGTGCACTCTCTCGCGCGGTGAGGCGACACGAGCAGAGAAGTAGAGGAGGCACGCGAAGAGAAGGAGGATGGGGAGGACGCGGAAGGGTGGTTATAGGGGCGGATTCGCGCGTTCTACGTCCGCGAGGGGGCAGGTTGGCTGCGAGAGGGAGAGAGAAATCGGGCGGGAGCCGAAAGAAAGAGAGAGACGGGAAAGGAGAGAAAGAAGGAAGAGAGCGCGCCTAATATGCAACAAGAGAAAAAGAATTGGCGATCAATAGGTAGTAGCTGGTAAGCGTCCTTTCATCCGCCCCCGCGGCCTCCTCTCTCGTTCTCTCTCGCCTCCTTTCGCGTCTCCATCCTTGCGCCATCGCCCCTCTTAACCCACCGCGTTGCCGGCCACCTTCAACCCTCTACCCCCGGTCTCGATTCTCTCTCGAGTTCATCGCGAAACTCCGCCGCTCCATCGCCTTCGTTGCCGAGACATCCGCCCTAGCGCGCGCCAAAGTTTGTCTCGGCTCTCCAAGACCAAACATCACCTAATTAGCTCTGGTTATTTCTTCCCTTCTGTTCCGACACCCCCGTTGATTTCATTAAATTGACGTTACTTGAGGCGAATGTTTTTTTTTCTTTTTTTTTTCCCGAGGATAAAGATCAAGATACGTTTGTGACGAAAGAATCGTCTGTGCGAATGCGAGAACGTACGTTACTTCAATCAAGTTCGATCGATATTTACGGCTCCCAGATGCAAATATGCATAGGCGAGTGCGGCGGGTTGTAATTACCTTCTCTGGAAATTAATTCGCCAGAATCGAATTGAGGAGAAGGACAAGAATGATGATTTCGAGATCGTTTAAAATATATATCGTTCGACTTTGTTAATTAATAAGGAAAATACATATATACCACACTCTGAAAGATTAATGATAAAACGAGAAAGACGAAGGGGCAACTTATTCCCTCCGGTCGGTTTGTCCGCGTTTCCAGCGGTTAGTTGACCCAAAGCGAAATTATACTCTACGTCGCGCACAATAATGAGAAACAAGTACGAGGACACGCTCATCCACGGCGACGGTCACGTGACGACGAGTGTATGTGTGCGCGAACGCTTCTGATCTTTCTTTCGCACAGGTGCAATTTACTTATACCGAAGATCGCGAAAAGAGTCGGTATATACACACACACGACTCAACTCCGTTTCGCGACTGTCCGGAAGGAGAATATTGCATATTTTATGTTCAGTCGTGCACCCCCGAACCCTTTTCTTCGCCGTAAATTCACGAATGTTCGTACCTGACTTTGATTCGATCGCGTTTTCGAGAAAGACTCGTATAATTTCGCCAACGATATATATATAATTCAATCGTCGCGACTTTATCGCGAGATAAGAATTGTGTGGTCTACGAAACGTATTTTTTTTTTTTTTCGAAATTTTACAAAATATGAAAAATAAAATTTTTCACTCTTAATATCGATATTTCTCGATGCGGATTTCCATATATCTACAGACATATTTAAGGTCAGATTATCTCATTCGCTCGTCTTCGCATTCGAGCGTGTCTATCGCATTAATCGTATTGCGCGTTTTAGAGGATAGGAAGCAAAGCAGACACGCACGCGTAACGTCTCGACGTGCCGTCAATTTTCACCGATGCACCGCAAGATCCGACGTTGATCGTCGGATGTACATACGCGACAGCGATCCAAGTCGCGGCCAACGTTGCTCCTTAAAAGCATTTGATCCCCGCGATTGATATTCCGCTCGCGTGTGTGCTCGCGTCTCTTCGTGGTTCGTAGTCCGGGTTAACTCGGCGATACCGCTGACGGTATATAAGATCGATTCGATGCCCGTCCTAGGTAAGCCTACGCGAAGCGATATCGATGAAACGCGCCGGGCTTTCGAGGCTTGTGCACACACGCTCCGCATTCGCCGCATGCAGTGCGCGAATGCATATACCGGGTGAGTCTCGCTCGCCCGACGACGTCGTTCAGCCGCGGCTGATGAAACTGCGACACTAGGCAGCTTCCGCGCTCTACCTTGGATTGCAATTAGTCGGTCCCGCTACTTACGACTGCGCGCGAACATGCGACAACTTTTGCCGATTGCACCCATCGTGCTGCCTGAGGGAGGAGATTTGCACGCTATCTTCCTCCGCGCTTTACGCTTTCGACGCGACGACGTATATACGAGGGAATATACTCCCGACGACGTTATCGAACCCTTCCGAAACGACCGGAATTATTTTAATCTCGGAATTAGGTATCGTTACCTTCTCCCGCGATCGATTGGATAATTTGAAGGGAGGAGATTTACGTGACTTAGATTTCGTATGATAAATTCTCCTACGAGAAATAAAATTGTATTACTTTAGATTATTTTATATATATACAAGATATATATTCCAATATATATATATATATATATTTACAAAAATTTGTCAACATCCAAAAGACACAACAATCGAGTCTTAATTAAACTAAGAACGAAGAAATAGAAAACAAATACACCACGAAAATTTGAATCATTATATATCCCTGTATGAAATTTATATAACGTAGACATATATATATACTTATTAATTTCCAGAATTAATTATTAAGAATTGCCGTCTAGAGAAAAAGAGTCGTTCAAAACTCGACGTCAAATTCTTTTCTACAGCATGAATATATCTCCCTGCAATATACATCGCATCGTTATTGAACTTTCGCAAACTTTCCATATGGTAGAGAAGATGCTCTCCTCATCGAAGATACTCGCCGCCGACGCTCAGTCTCAAAAAGCACTTTATGTAATATCGATTGGAGTGCCGCGCGATGAATATTCGAATTCGAGAAGCGCATCGATCATTCCCCGGAACGTAACGAAAAACGCCGATATCTTTATGCACGTTGCGCGCCGTGCACGTGTTCGATACGCGATCGACGTCATCGCGATGCAAGCTGTTTGTCGATACCTAATGCCTTTGAGAAAAGAACCCGTCGCACAATTTTGTATGCTCATCCGTCGCGGTATGCGCGCCTTAGAATCGCTCGATCACACACGAAGACGGAATCTAATATTAATCGATCAAGTCTGCGTGTCAACCCCTTTTCGGGGTTGACTATCTGATATATGTATACTTTCGCGTCGACTGTAATACATGCTCTAAATACATTTTCAATTTAAGACAAACCTGCGAGTCGAAATTTTCTTCAAATTGCAATCCTCGCACGGTAATTTAGATTATTAATTAAAATGTCGAGAATGAAATAAAAATGAAGCAAAATAAATTAAAGCGAAAATACATAGTAATAAATTAAAACAATTTGCAATCACGCTAAATCTAATGTCTAATTACTACATATATTTTGATATTTCATTTGGAACTCTGTTTAAACATACAGTTTACTTAAAGTTCGAGTAGGTGCAAATTAAACGCAGTCGTTTAATTATCGAGGGACCTTATTAGAGTATATATGAAAGTCTTGCGCTCTATAACGTTCGTGCTGTTTCGCGAATCGATTTAGCATAGAATGTCACTAAATAACGACGTGAGTCATTGTGGAATGCCGGTTGCAAAGAACACCGGAGAACTTGCACCCAACTACTCGATAATACTCATACACTCGGCAAACTAACTAAACGAGGTCCTTTGAGATGGCGAAATTTCCGCAAAATAATTGAGCTACGCGACATGCATCAACTTTGTACATATCTACGATTTTAAAATATAATCTAGAATAAAAATTTCGACAAGACTGCTGATTTATCCATGTAAATATATGTATATAATTTAAGATAAATATATTTGACGTTGCGTCTTTTTTTCTATAGTCAAACTATAAATCTTAATAAAATTTTCTCTTCGCATATCGATCCCTGTAAATATAGAGTCTGTAAATAGTGCCACGATTCAGCTGTTATCGCAAAGCACTGTTTCTTCTCTTATGAAACTGCACCGAGTCATCGGAAGTCACCGATAAGAAACGCAAGGCGGGTGTAATCTCGCGCACAATCCGCCAGAGTAGAATCCACAAACACACACGCGTGTACACGCGCTACTACTATGAATATGTAAATATTATTTCTACGATTCTTACGAATGCCAACGACGGCGTCTCGTAATACGCGATTCCGATGACACGCGTTCGCTTGCGCAACGCGTCGAGACACAACAACCCTATTTACGCGAGATCGCGGGTGTCTCTATATCATTTCTACGACGACGCACATTTCCATG